CGTCTCCCCGCCGCTGGTCGTTAGCGTTCAAGCAGGGGTCCCCCAGGACCACCCCCGGCACCCCAGCCTTCCCCTTTCTCACCCCCCCACCAGCTTTTCCCCTGCCTCTGACTGACAGCCCTGACCACCGCCGCCGGATTGCGTCCCGCGGTCCCGATGTTCAGGGGGTCCTTTTGATCCCGCGGCTGGGGTTGAACATCCGCTGAGAAACACTGGATGAAAGCTCGTAATGGCATTGAAAGGGCTGTCGGAGGCGTTTCGGATCAGACATGCCTCGACAGAAGCTGTCGCCCCCTGTTAACCCAGGATTGGGGGTGGGTTTTGGGGGGTTTAAGGGGGGAGTTGGGTAATTTCCCCCCCACCCTTTTAAAATCATTGTAATTCCTGAATTCCTCTTCTCTGAGGAGCAGATCTGTGTCTGCGTGTGCGTGCATGTGTGTGCGCGTGCAAGCATGCGTGCGAGAGAGAGAGAGAGAGACAGAGGGAGAGCGACCACAAGCACTTCCTTGCATCGCTCCCGGCGCTTTGCTAGACACAGCTCCTGTCTGCCCCGTTAATAGCTTACAAGCCAGCTTCTGCCCTAGGTTATGCAGATGCAAATCCTTGTTAAGTCACTGGGTCAAATCCACTTGCTCCTGTCAGGTAAAGCTGTCATTCAAGTCAAGAGCTGGGGGCTCTTATTGTTATCATATGCCACGGGCCTCACTCCATTTGTACTCTGTAGGCAAAGCTCTCCCCGGGGAGCCGTCCTCCCAGGAGCGGATGAGCGGCTCCTCCGCCGATGGGTTGCTGGCTGGCAGGCGGGCGGTTGTGTAACCCGGGGCTGGGTTTTGCCGCTGCTGGAAGCACACTGCCGGCGCTGTCTTGCACCCCGGTTGTGTCACAGCTTTGTCACGGTGCATTGCAGGAAGGCACATTTGAGGGTGCCCAGCGGCACCGCCACCCAAGCCGGGGTGACTGCAGCGACGGGGAAGGGGTCCCCCGGCTTCAATGCGTTTCAGTGCGGCCCCTGCACCTCAGAAACGTGCGTTCGGAAAAACAAGAGTCCCGGGTCAGGACAGTCCTCAAGCACATGCTTGTCTTTGAGTACCGGGCTGAAGAGGACCAGGATTACTCGTGTGCTTGAGGGAAAGTACCCCTCAAGTGCTCTCCTGAATCACGGCTCTCCGAACACAGAGCTGAAGAGCCGGCCCCGCTCCTAAGAGAAGAAGGAAATTTAAGATGTGTTTCATTTCTCCGGGTCACGCTGGAGAGGAACGCTTTGTTTCCCAAGCAGCGCCAGCCCCGGCGGGGCGAGGGAGGGCAGAGACATGAAAAGAGGGCCTGTTTCTCCGGCGGCCGGCGGCTTCAGCTGTTTGTTCCCCACCTGGAGCCGCAACAACCCCGCACTTCATACCGCGGCCGTCGCTCTCCCGGCGAGGCGGCTCCGACGCCGCAGCCAGGGGCGGGGGGGGAGTCCTGGGGCAAATGCTCCAGAAGCGCTTGTACACGTGACAAAGCACTTGCACACACGAAAGGCGCTTGTACACGTGACGAAACGCCAGCTTTCATCTTGACGCCCGCAGGCGGATCCGGCAATGAGACTGGACTCCGCGGGGTTTTGCAAGGGCTGGAGTCTGCCCCCAGACTTGTGCGACTCGGGAGCGACCCCCAGAAAACCCAGAAAAAGCGGGGCGCTCGGTGCCACTTCCTGGTGCCCGGGGAACGAGGAGGACTTGCCTCCGTGCCTGGTCCCGGGAAGGTCGCTGGGGAGGATGTGGCCAAGGGGCTACTCGGGGTAGAGTCCGGCCCTTGGTTTTGGCCATCAGCTGCCCAAGGGGCCCAGTTTCCCTCTGCTCCGAGAGCTGCCCTCCATTTCCACTTTCCTGCCTTGCAGACCCTTGCTCATCGAGGCCTGAATCCAACCGGAGTCCGGACGGGCAGACGGCACCAAAACTGCACCCGCCGCCCTCGGGAGCGCCCCCGAGGGTGCTGCCCAGACACCACGGCAATGGGCACCTTGGAAACACCTGGGATAACCCCCTGAAACACTAATGCGACACCATCCGTGAGAGCCGGAGGGACCAGAGGACCCAGCACGGACCCCGGGCTCCGCTCCCTGAGCAGCGGTGCTCGTCCCCGCTCTCCCATCCAAAACCCCGGGTCTAAGGAAGGCCTCCGAGGGGGCTGATGCCTGAACAGAGGCCGTGCCAAAGGCTCTCAGGCGTCCCATGGCCCAGGAGAGACTAGCAGACACGGGCTCAGGGCCCTGCACCTCGGAGAAGGTTCCCGTTGCGACCCCGGGACGCCTTCTCCCCTGGCCCCCCCGGAGCCGCTCCGCCAGGCGCCAGGCGCTGCAGGCTCCACGCCGCCTTCGCCTCCACACCTGCAGCCGTGACCTCCGTCTTCACACCATCGCAGGTACGGCGCGTTGCCGTGGCAATGGCTGGGAATCGGCTGGGGATAAACAACAGGAGCCGGCGAGCTCTTTCCAGACAAACAGCCTGGTGCCGCGGGCAGGAAGGCGGAGCGGGGCCCCGCTGCCCCTGCACGCAGAGGGGAGGGCACGGACAGACGCCCACGGGGGGACCTCGTCCTAGATGAGGCCGAAAGGGGAAATCCCTCCGCCCGGCGCCCTTGGCTGGAGGATGGGGCATCTCTATGCACACTGCCGCGGGCTGGGGACAGATGGGGGTCTAAGCCTGGCTCTGCCACCGATCTCCTGCGTGACCTTGGGCACATCCCTTCTCCACCTCTCCTGCGGTTTCTCCTGGTCCTGCTGTCTGCCCCCACCAAGAACAGCCCAGCTCCGTCTCTGTGCAGCCCCCCTGCAGGGAGGTGAAGGCTGCTCTTCGATCCCCCTCGGTCTGCTCTTCTCCAGACCGGCTATGTGCCGTTCCAGCACCCGGCCATTTTTGTTGCCCTCTGCTGGACTCTCTCCAATGTGTCCATGGCCTTTCTGTCGTGGGGGGCCACAGCTGGACACGGGATCCAGATGTGGCCTTACCATTGCCAAATAGAGGGGAAGAATCACTGCCCTCCATCTCCTGGCAGTGCTCCTACCCATGCAGCCCAGGGTGCCGGTCGCCTTCTTGGCACCAAGGGCACACCGCTGGCTCCTGTCCAGCTTCTTGTCCACGGTCCCCCCCAGGGCTTGTCTGCAGAGCTGCTGCCCAGCCCATCCCCTCCCCGGCCTGCACCGGTGCAGGGGATTATTCTGTTTTAAATTGCAGGACTTTGCACTTCCCCTTGCTGAACCTCCTGAGATTTCTTTTGGCCCAGTCCTCCAGTTTGTGTGTGTGTGTGTGTGTGTGTGTGTCTTTGTGTGTGTGGTTTTGTGGGTGTGTGTGTGTGTGTGTGTGTGTATACGTGTGCGTGTGCATAGGGTTCATAAGCAAGGCACCTGCAGGCAGCACTCAGGAGTAGTCAGCCTAGTGTCGGGGGGTTGTAGGCCCGGTCTCACCCGCACCCCACAAACAGCTTCCTCCGTGCCGCTCTCCCCCAACGCGTTTACGACACAGACGTTCCTCCATGGAGACACAGGGACATGGCCAAGGTCGTGCCGGGCGTCGGCACCCAAATGCAGCCCCCTCGAGTCCTCCCTCTTCATTCAAAGGACCAAATTCTGGCTCCAGCCTGGAGCTCGGGCTGCTGGGGAGGAAGGGCGTAAAGCCCCCGGCCTCATCTCCCCCACGCCTCCTTGCCTCGGTGGCCCCAGCAGGGCGAGGGCTGTCTGATCCAGGCCGGCCAGACCAGGCTCCTGCTGCCAAAGCCTTCTCCGTTGCTGCAGCCTTGACAGGGCTGAGATTTAAGGCCCGGGGTTTGGCCCGCGGAAAGGGGGGACCCGGCACAGAGCCACCCCAGCCTGGCTCCCAAGACCAACCGAGTCTGGATCTGGACCGCAGCAGCGACCCCCGTGGGGTGGGCTACGCCAGGGCCCTCCACCCCCCAAACCCTTCCCAAGCATGTCTCCAGCACCCTCAAGCCCGCATTACAAGTGCCGCCTTCATCCCTCTCCTGCTGGCGTTGGGGACTAGGGACTCGGTGCAAAGCGGGCAGACGGGCGCTCTTGCATCGGACCTCTGCTTCGGGTCACCGGATCTCCATCCGACGACGAACGGCAGTGCAAGAGGGAAGATAACACGCCGCGGGGAGCTAGGCGCGCCAGCGAAGCCCCCGGCCCGCAGCCAGCCTCCGCGCGCGTGCTAAATGGGGCGCCTGCCTTCCCGGAGAGGAAAATCCATGACGCTTGAATTTTGTGGCGCTCGCCATGAGATAAGCCGCCTCGGAAATGCGGCGCTGCGAGGGATGCGCATTTTTCTCCTCCTGTTCTGCTCTCGGCAGATGCAAAACAGCTGCAAACCCAGGGACCCCTCCGCCGCCTAAGCACCCGCAGCTCAGCCAGCACCCCGGGGCGAGGTAGCTCTAACCCTCCCCATTGCGGACGGGCATCTGGTTGCAGTCAAGGGGAGTTTGCCGCTGCCTTGAGGGCACAGGCAGCCAGGCCAAGGGGGCAATCCACGCTTCCACGGGCCAGCCAAAGCCACCGAGGGCGGGCAGCGGCCCTGACTGCCGCTCAGCCGCCTTCGCTCCCTTCGCCATGCCCATTCGCCTCCCCGCCGCAGCTGCTCTGCCAGCGCGCGCCAGCCCGGGAGCCGCGGCGGGAGTGCGGGGGGCTGCAGATGGTGCCGGCCCGGCCGGTAATTGAAAGCTTCAGCTCATCAAAGAGCAGATCATGCGGGCTGTTGTTGCGACAGCAGCGCGCCGTCAGCCAGGGCAGCGAGAGTTAAACGGTTCAAAAGCATTCCCCCCTCTGCTGAAAGAGCCGCTTTTAATTAAACATTTATCAGCTTAATTTTTCATCAACATGACAAGAGCTGATTATTCACCTACAACACCACCCCCCCCCGCCACCATCACCACCTCCACGCCGCCCCGTGGCTCTCCCCGCCGCTCACAGCCCGTCGTGATTGCTTTCCTCGAGGCCTTGCCCCCACGAGCCCAGCAATGGGGCTCCATCACCCGCCCGTCTGGGTGCCAAAGGCCCTCGGACGTCGCAGGGTGGCCGAGCTATTGGGGTGGTGAAAGGCTGCGTTTCTTGTCGAGGGATGGTTTTTTGGAGGGGGAAGGCGGCAGCTGCAGCAGGACGCTGGGTTCTCCCGTCTGATCCGGGAGGGAGTGCAGCCTGATGGTTAGAGCAGGGGCATGCTGGGCAGCCAGGACTCCTGGGTCTTCTTGCCGGCATCGGACGGAGGGGAGAGCGGGCCAACCTGGAAGGCAGGACGAGAGGACGAAACATTTTGCAAAGCCCCCGGGGTCCGGCTGCATTTCCCATCCCTGAGCGGCTCCGGGACGCAGACCCCCCCTTCCAGCCCCGGCACTTTGTGCTGCCTCCGCCGGCTTGACGAGCTGTCCCCGGCGCTGTTAAACCCCCAGCAGCCTAATCCCGCCTTTGTTTGCCCGCTAATCCCGAGCGTTTGGAAAGCGATCCCGGCCCCCGCGGCACCTCCGCCAGCGGAAGCAGATTTGCCAGGTGCCCGCTCTGCGGGACCCCCCGATTGTCTCCCGAACGAGCCTTTCAGGCCGACTTCGTGGCCAGAGCAATGAACCAGCCCGGAGTCGCCCGTGCGGCTCTCTCCCAGGCCAGGAGGTGCACTGGCCAAAGGCATTTCCAGCCTCTCCGTCCCATAGCGGCCCCCAGACCCAGTCCAGCGCCCAGTGGAAACCACATGGCTGGGCCAGGCCCTGCCACGGATGTAGAAGTGGGGCCTGCTAGTGCTCAATCTGGTGCAGAGGACCCCTGCCCGGGGTCCCAGGATGTCCAGGCCAGGTCTGAATTGGTGCTGCCCCGGGCAGGTGCCAGCCAGTGTCCAGGGTGGTGGCTACAAGAGGCATGTCCAGCTGCTGGGCGGCTCTGGTGTGGCCAGATGCAGAGGTGCAAGGAAGGAGCTTGAGGGTTCGGGTTCGGGTTCGGGTTAGGGGTTCCAGCAAGTGGGGCTGAGGAAGGTGGAGCGGAGGCTTGATGTGGGGCAGGAGCTGCGTTTATGCCCTTGATGGGATCTATGCTAGAGGCACAGCCTGACCCCAAGCAAGGGGACTTGGGATTCAGGACTCCTGGGTCCTCTTCTCACCTGGGGGAGCATTGCAGCTTCGTGGGGGCCCGCGTCAGGAGACTCTGCCCCTCTTTCCCAAAGGCAGCCTTGCCTGGCGGCTGCAGAAGGAGCCTGGCCGGCAGGATGCCGCAGGTGTGTGGGCTGATGACCCCTGCCTTGCACGGCATCGCCGACAGACGCGGCACAAGGGACAGGGGCGCACAGGACGGCGGGGCGGGGGTCTCCATTTCAAATCCACGTCTTGCTGAGTAGCCCAAGCGCTGGGCTCTGCAGAGAGGTGAGCGGAGACGATGGCACCGGCCCCTCGTCGGGCCTTTGGGATCTATGGCTCCATGAATTAATGAATAACGCCCATCCGTCTCTGTCCCACTCCCTGTCACCCGCCTATTTTTAGCCCCCTAATTCCAACCCCGAGTATTAAAAGAAACATGAGTCAGGCCGGAGCGAGGCAGGGAACGGGCACCGAGCTCGGCCGGTCTTATTTTAAAGAGCCGAGGTTGTGCGGGGCTCTCTGCCACTGCCCGCCAGTCGTGGCCCTACGCTCGTCTCCCGTAACCCCGGGACTCCGGGAGCTGAGGCCTTGCAGGAAAGCAGCGGGTATCATGAGGGTTGGGGCACATCAGGGAGGAGCAATGTGCCTTGTGATCATCCCTCCGTTTCACCGTCTCCATCACCACCCCCAGCCCAGCGCCCGGAGGGACGATCCCCCCAGGCTGCAGCCGGGCCAGGCAGGGAAGCGAGCACCCCAGCCCCACAGGGCTCGAATCCTCCCTGCCCAACCCTCACCTACGGCAAGGGGTGGCCAACCCGCAGCATGCATGCCACACATGTGACACGTGGCAGAGCAGGGAGGGAGCCTGCAGATAGGGCAGGAAGCAGAAAGCAGAGCAGTAGATCAGGCAGGGAGTGCAGAGCGGGGAGCAAAAAGCAGAGCAGCAGATCGGGCAAGGGCAAGGGATCGGAGATGGCAATACTGGCCCCATTTCACTGCGGGCATGCGGTGCAATCTCAGCCCTAGAATGACCCTGGCAGCCAAATCGGGGCATCGAGAGGATTGAGGCATCCAAGGAGGAAGGGCGGAAAGGGAGCTCGGCTTTCGGTCGGAGCAGCCGGAAGGAGGAGAACGGCCAAGCCGCGGTGCCGCCGTGCGGGGGGGCTGGCGCGGCGTCCCGACCTCGCTCCTCCAGGTATTACTGTTATGTCTCCCCACTCCCGGCACACAGATGGCCCTCATTAAAAAGCAAAATTAGTCTTTCCCCCTCTTGTGGCAAACTTCAGAGCCACGGATCAGCTGTATTAGGCTGAATTAATTAACAGCGGATTGTTCCTATTCTGCTAATTATGCTGAAATATGCATTAAACGCTGGAAATGAATAGGGCCCGTGCAGAAAAAAATGATGTAGCGCTTTAAAGCGGAGCCCCTTCCCCTGCCCCCTTCGGCAGGAGGGAATTGGCTACGACGTGGGTCCCGGCACGAAGCCCGTCACAGCCCCTGGCCCTGGCGCCCCCGCTCCCCCCGGCGCCCGGGCAGGCTTCCTCTGCGGCTCTGAAATTCCTCCAGACAGAAATGGGGGGAAAAGCAGGGTTTTGTTAAATAACAGAGCAACACGAGCAGGGTTTTTCCCTCCCTCCATTGGGTTGGTGTCACCTCCCAGCCCCTGGCACGTGCACATATCTGCAGCCAGCGTCAACCCACGGGGGCCTGGTCCTTGTGTGAAGATTTGCACGTGTGCAAGGGGCTGTGGAGCAGCGGGGTGAGTCGGTGCCTCAGTTTCTCCCCCTCTTTGCCTCATCTCTCCAGGGCCTTCTCTGCATTTCCCCCATCTGCTGCCCCCCACGCCCGTGCGCTCTGCACCCGGGATGCCAGCGGGTGACGGGGTCATTGCAGAAGGGGCTGCCGGTGCCCTGTGCCCGGCTCAGCTCTGAGGGCTCGCGGCTGCAAGGTCACCGGGACCTGACTGTGCCAACTCCCCGCGGACCATCCCGAGGGATGCGAGGGCAAGCAGCCGACCCCGCTCCGTAAGGCAGCGGGGAACTGTAACGAGCCCCTTTCGACCCCGCTGGGGCCGGTCACCCAGCAGCCAGGACAGCCCAGAGCTCCCGAAGCCCAGGCGGCACAACGCCCGCCAGGCCACACCGCCTCCATCATGAGACCCGGTCAATAATCCTATTCCAGCAACGCGGCCAAGCCTTAAATCGATGGCAACGAATCCTCCAGTCCAATAATAATGAAGTCCAGGCAATGATTATGAGCACTGCCCTGCAGCAGGGTGGGCCACGGCTTTGCACCCGGGGTGGGCGCGCCGACCCCTGGCATGAGGTGACGATGGCTGGTGTGAAGCGAGCTGTCCCAGCCCGTGCCCGGTGACTCCAGGGAACGAGGGGACACGGAGACACCCCTGCGGGGATCACACCCCCTCCTCTCAGCCCACCGTCGCCCTTCAGTCGTGGTCCTGGGGGCAGGTGCCCGGGCGGAGGCACGCAAGTCCCTTTGGGAGAACAACCTCCTCTCCGGCCCGAGGATTTAATCCAGAGGGCTCTCGCCCCCGAGCTGCCGGGTGCAGGGGCTGGCGGGGCACAAAACATTTCACCGCGTAATCAAGCACGTGCGGTGCATTTCTCGGAGGCTTTCAGGCCTGATGGAGCCGGGTAATGCCAGGGGGAAGGAGCCCATGGATTCAGCTTGGCCTTGTGGCTGGGTCCCAATCCTGCATCCCAACCCCATCGCCCGCCCCCGTTTGGGCTCTTTCATCTGCCGCGGCTAAGGGCTCCAGCACCCAGAGACACGAGAAGGCTCCCAGCATCTGCCGCAGCGATGCGTACGCTCCTACAAAGGCAGCAACAGCAATGACTTCTGCAGGGCTACTGCTGATTGACACCAGCTGGCATGATTTACACCAGCTGCAGCGCTGACCCCCTTCGCCACCCCCCAGCGGAGCGTCTCAGGACCCGGTGGGACGCGGCGGCAGGCAGCCAGGGAAGGGCAGGGGCCGCATTCTGCCCCGAGACGAGCGCTTTGTGAAAAGCCTGCAGAGTGCGTATCATTTAATTAGGCCTAATCAGTGCGGAATGCAGGTTAATGAAGCGTCATCGACTAGGAAACGCGGGGAAGTGACGGGCAGCGGCGGGAGGAGGGGACGGCGTGCATCCTATGCCCGCGGGAGCAGAGCCAGGGGCCTGGGCTCCCTGTCCACAGGCCCCGCGGTGCAGCCGGGCTCCCAAGGGGGATGCATGGGCAGAAGGAAACCCTCCACCGGGAACTGGAGATGCCAGCTCTGAAACAGGGGCTCGTGATTGCTGTCGGTGCTCTGTGCAGCGCCACGGCCCCGCATGCCTGGAGCTGTGCCAGCCTAGGTGGGACCACGATCCCAGGACCCGGCGGAGATGCCATTTTAGCAGCCAGGAAGGTCTGTCCCCGGAGCAGCCGGGGCGCGTGCCGGGTAGAGGCGAAGGCAGGAGCTCTCCAAAACACCGGACTCGCACGACATTGATTTTTATTTTATTATAAAAAAATACAGAATCCAAATGGGGCAGGGGCCGGGCACCATCGGCACGACGCGGAGAACGAAAGCTGCATGTCTACGGACCAAGCTAGGCGGAGTCGAGACCAACAAGCAGAGACAGTTCCCGGGGCGGGGTGGGGGCCGACCCCCGGAGGTCAGCCCGACCCAGTAAAAGGATTAAAAAAAAAACAACCCCCCAAACCCAAAGACCCAATCCCAAACCCTGTTGTGTTTAATTATAGCTTCGTTTGAACATTGCTTCCTCGGTTGCTTTTGTCTTTTAATTCTCTCACAATCGCTGTACACGATATATATATTTATATATATATAATATATATATATAAAACACAGACTGGAAGCCAGGTTTTGCCACCATCCCCAGGGTGCGCGCGCCCAGGACAGGCGGCACCCGTGGGTGGCTCGGGGCTGACGGCTGGCTCGAGCATCC